TCTTATAATGTTTTTTTTTTTCATTTATTTCTTAAATAGTTTTATGCATGAGTAAGTTCGCCGAAATCTTGTATATTTAAAGTGACTACACACAAGACAAAAGCCGTATCCTAGAGACTTTTTTTTTTCAAAAAAAAAAATTGTGGGCATTAATTTAGTAAAGTTTAGTCTTACAAAGAACGTATTTTACGTGCTTCGACTTTGATCAATTTTACACGTATTTTACGTGCTTCGACTTTGATCAATTTTACACTTTCTTTCTTCGATTTCATTGATTTCAAGATAGTTGATTTCATGATTGTCCATGATCCGCTCATGCCATTTGTCGTTATTATCTGGAAAACAACTTGTTCATATGATCCGTCTCGTGTCATTCTTTATCATTTCCGGAAGACAGATACGTACATATTGATCCAACATAATTCTTTCTTTATTTATTTTTTTCCAAAAAAATAGAAAATATTATAAATCAAAACGCACAAATGTGCCAAATTACAGCCCATAGCTGAATAATACAGCCAACAACTAAAAAAATGGAAGGACAGGTCAGAAGACCGCCTAAAACCGCAACCAACCAAGCTATAAACCAAAAGACGAGACTCAAACACAACCGACACAACAAACACTAAAACAAATCAATACAAAGCTCCCCACAGGAGAATAGGAACGATCCCCAAAGGATAATCCCCGCACACTGGCGGGCTCACAGAGGCCAACGGCACAGACAAAAAACACAAGACAAACAACACGAACACAAACAACACAACCAAAACACAAGGCAAAGCAACACATACTAACAACACACTAAGACGAAAACAATTAAACTAAATTAGCAGCAGACAAAGCCCTTCCTCAGCAATACAAACGGGCCGAACCAGCAAAGAACAACCGATTCGAATAAAGATCCAAAGCCCAAGGGATCGCAACCGAAATTGCTGAGATGCCTATACAGAAGCCGAACGTGAGCCTCGAATCAAAACCAAAATCGACCCACCCTCAACTAGAGGAACCACGAACCGACTCCCCCCATCGGTGCTGCCCGAACTCGCCTAACACCACTAGCCGAGCACGGAAGCTCCGCCCCCCCTCCGTCCCCAGCCCCAGAGAACCGAGGAGGTGAGAGCAGCTCGGTCCCCCAAAATCTTATTTAGGGCTCGAGCCTCTATCGCAAGCATCCCACACTAGCTTCATCTTCACTATCACGATGAGGTCTCCTCTTGAACAACGTCGCCATCTCTGGAGTGGTTGTGTGGGATCTGGTCGCGTCTTCTGGTCTGCAGTCAGGCGGAGCGAGTGTCGTTAGATGGGGCGTGGCTCTGGCGGCTACGACATTCACCACAAAAATTGGAATCCAGCGACAGAGCCCGCAAAGCCCGCCCAGAAGAGGCGAAAACGACCATGGGACAACCCCCGCAGAACACCAAGACACAAAAAAATCGGAGGAGCACGAGGTCAGGGATGGGCCGAGCAGTCAAAGGCGACTACTGGCTAGGTCCCCACCGTCGCCTGGAAGGCAGATGAGCGTTAATTTGAGAGTTCGCTGGCGGATATAGGGATTAGGTTTTCGCGAGGAAGAGGAAGGGGTCAGTTTGTACAAGAAAATCTTTCTAGGGATACTAAATATTAATTAAAAAGAAATGATAATAATATTTTTATACTTATGTAATTTCTATATGACATTTATTGCAAATTATTATTAGTTGGTATTAATATTAACTATTATATAATACAATATTAAAAAATATATAATTACACTTAACTAAATATTAAAAAATATATAATACACTTAACTAAAATAATTATAACGGTTAGAGCTGTCAATTTGGTCCGTGGCCCGCGGGCCGGGCCGGCCCTCCCCACCAATTTGTAACGGTTAGAGCTGTCAATTCGTAACGGTTAGAGTTTTTGAGGTATTATATTTTAATATGTTAATTAAAACAACTTAAAAAAATAAAAAACAAAATTGGCGGGCCTGGCCCGCCAAACCCGCGGCCCGTGGTGGGGGCGGGTTGGGCCAGCATTTCTAGGCCAGCCCGCCCCACCCCGCCGGCCCGTTTGACAGCTCTAGTAACGGTTTTCTACAATACATACTAAAAATGGGCGAAATATGTTACTAAATGAAGTTGAATAAAATAAAAAGAAAAAAAAAACATTTATTTAATCATGAAAAATTTGTAACGTCTTTTGCCAGGAAACTAAAATCATTCTTATTAATTGATTTGTCAGCAATTATATAGATAGATATGTTACTTTTGTTGTTATAATATTATCCTAATCAACCATCAAAGTCTTATCTAACATATATAAAATACACTAGTATTGATACCCGTGCGATGCACAGGTGCAATACAAAAAATATTTTTTATCTAAATATTATAAAATTATTTAAGACAATATGGAACTATATTTTCCACATATTCTATTCAATAATAATATGACATTTATTTATTTACTATTATTGAATTTCTATTTATATATATGTATATATATATATATATATATATATTTTGTAGTTTTTTTGAGCTGTCAATTTGGTCCGTGGCCCGGGGGCCGGCCCGCCCCGCCAATTTGTAACGGTTAGAGCTGTCAATTTGTAACGGTTTTGGCGGGCTACGGGCCAGCCCGCCCGCCGGCCCATTTTGACAGCTCTAGTAACGGTTTTCTACAATACATACTAAAAATGGGCGAACTATGTTACTAAATGAAGTTGAATAAATAAAAAGAAAAAAAAAACATTAGATTAATCATGAAAAATTTGTAACGTCTTTTGCCAGGAAACTAAAATCATTTTTATTAATTAATTTGTCAGCAATTATATATATAGATATGTTACTTTTATTGTTATTATATTATCCTAATCAACCATCAAAATCTTATCTAACATATATATAAAATACACTAGTGTTGATACCCGTGCG